TTGTGTTTGAAGTGGGTCTGACGTATACTCCGTCGACGCATGGCGTTCTTCGCGCTGTTAGCTGTGAATACGCCTTGTCGAGGTGGGGTGGGGTGCGGTGGGTGCGGGGCGGAACGCCTTAGCCGCGCGCAACAACGGCCGCACCATCACACCGTGGAGCCGGAGCCGCACCGCACCACGCCCACCCCCCAGCCTACGCATGAACATCAACACCCGCGCGCGCCATTGTGGCCGACCCGAGCCCATCATAATCATATTACTCGGCAAAAAAGGTGAAAAAGGAAAGAAAAGAACTTGAGGGACAGCATCGGAATGAAAATAAAATTAATCATTTTCAAATCCCATAAAACGTGTGGTCGTATTTTACTAGTCCTAAGAGATAACAGCACAAAAGGTTCACAAATGTTGCTGTTCTCAGTTTCAAACTTTAATAATTGGTTAATATTGTTTTTAAATACAAGTGTCACTGAAATTCTTATGACTATTTTTTTTAAGTTGACAGTGTAGTGCCTGGCCTATGCGATGCCGCGGCTGCAAGACGCTACGCACATACTGCCAGGGCGGACATTTTCATGGCTTCTGGCGGCAGTCCCTGCCGTTACCTTCAAGAGCGCACTAGAGGAAGAGAGACACACTGAGAGAAAGAGAGACGCATTGCACGAGAGAAATGGAGGAGAAAGAGCGACGATCCCGCGATTTGTCTTTTCCTTCCCCTTCTCTCTTTCTTTCTTCCCGCTCAGTAAGCACATCAGCGGAGAAAGCACAACAAACGCAAACCGTGCTCAGGGCGAAATATGTAAAAAAATAAATGAAAATAGCCGCATCGAGAAATAAATTGCAGGGTGCAAAAGAAACCCTCTAACAACAAAAATGTTATTTCGTTTTGGTTTGCACTGTGTACGCATAAACACTCGTGTCCCGCAGCGGACACTTCCGCGTGCCCTCGACAAGCACCCCGAGCTGCGGTCAGTAACGCCGCCCTAGCACGCCGACGCGAAGCTCAGGGACACTGATGAGATAAGCCCCACCGACCGGACCCCGCCCCTAAACACTCCGCGAACTGCGCGACACCCCGGTGAATAACTGAACACCCGCACGGTAGTGGTGTTCCACCGTTGGTATGTAATTTCAAGTCACCCTGATTCACAAAATAAGAACTTTACCGTTTTTAACTGTGATAATAATTAACAAGAAGTAACGCTGGTACTGTCGCCTGATGGTAATTGGGAAATTCAGGACGTTGCAGGACGTTTGATCGGGCCGGAAAAGGTTGCCCATACAACGAAATGGTTTCAAAACACTATTTAGTAGCCATAAAAAACTAAAGCGAGTAAGTATCATCGTGGCGCGAGTTCAGGAACTGCGATACTGTACCGCACGCCAGGGGTGCGGGAGGGTTGCCTACCCTCAAGCTCAAGGGGCCCGCCGCGCTCGCTGCCCGGTTGGCAACCCACCCGCCCGCTACAGTGGGGCATAGCCGCGACAAGCAGCAAAGGGGGACCTGAAGGGGAACCCGGACGAGCAGCGCGCGTCGGAAGGCTCTGATAACCTTCACGGAGTATGTCACGCAGACGAGTTGCTGCGCGCAAACAGCTAAAGAGACAGCTTCTTGTCCCTCGCGCGTGTCTGCTGCTCCACACTGGAATGTCTCTCTCCACGACACAATCCACACACAACCGGCACTGGAAATCCAACTGTGTTGGTGTCGCAGACCGGCGAGTGTGCGACAGAATTTTCACACACCTACAGATGGCCAAATTAACATTCACACATGTGGGGCCGAGAAATGGCCGCCTTATTGTTTTAGGCGTACGAATCTCTATTCACTCACCATCAAGTGTGTGAATGTTTTCACCCACGTGCAGGTTTGTGACATTTTTACACTTGCACCTCCAGTGCGGCCACTTCCCGTTTGCAGTGTATTCAGGGGCAGCTCAAAAGAGCTACACCACCACCAGCAGCAGCACCATACCGCGGCAGTTATTTACCGGCGAGTAAAAACACAGAGTTTGGGTCGGCAGCAAACAGCGAGCGTCCGTCAAGGTAACCACCACCCGGCCCGGCCCGACCACCGCGCGCCCCGCTGCTGAAAGGACCAACGGGCGATAAACCCCGGCCCGGTACGACAGCCATCTTGTTTTCATTGAATAATTGGTACTATGTCTCTCGGCGGGCGGGGCTGCCGGGGAGCCAGCCGGCCGGCCGGCCCGGGATCCGCCTTGGCACTACCCGGGAGAGAGAGAGAGAGGGAGAGAGAGATGGAAAGAGAGAGAGGGGGGCGGGGGTAATTTGGTTGGGATCAGGTTCACTGCCGCGCTACGGTCGCGGCTGCCCGGTGCGGTGGCCCCGCCCTAGGTACCGTAGCCCAGGAGGAAGGCGTCGTCGAGGCGGACGGAGAGCGGCGGCCGCGGCGGCTGCTGCTGCGGCGGCCTCAGGTCGGGCCCAACGGATTAGGAGAGGACCCAGAGAGGAGACGGGGGG